TTTTTTTTGATAACTTTAAAAGTTTTAAATATAAAGTTCTATTTTTTTTTTCCTTTTAATTTTTAGTTTTTGCCTTTCTCCACATGCTCTAATAAATACTAACTTCTGTCAGTTCAGCAAGTAATTGCTTGAGGGAAAACGTCTTAGAAACTACAAAACAAAAGCATCGTATTCCCTTCGAGTGAGTGCCATTACTGTTTCTCCTTCTAGGCACCAGCCACAGCTCTCACTCCGTGCAGTCAAGCCTGGTCAGACAGTCCCCTGCCCGGGCCTCAGTAGCCAGCCAGTCTTCCTACTGCTACAGCAGCCGGCATTCGTCTCTCCGCATGTCCACCACGGGATTTGTGCCTTGTCGGCGCTCTTCCACCAGTCAAATTTCACTTCGAAACTTGCCGTCATCCATCCAGTCCCGCCTGTCTATGGTCAACCAGATGGAGCCCTCCAGTCAGAGCGGCATAGCCTGTGTGCAGCATGGCCTCCCCTCTTCCAGCAGCTCCAGCCAAAGCATCCCAGCCTGCAAACATCACACTCTCGTGGGCTTTCTTGGGACAGAGGGAGGTCAGAGCAGTGCCACTGATGCACAGCCAGGCACCACCTTAAGTCCCGCCAATAATTCACACACCAAAAAGGGGGAAGTGATTTATAGAGTCCAAGTAAGTAAGCCCAGAGGTCATCTTGTGCTGTTTTTGTTTCTCATTTGTTTTTATTTCTTATTCGTTGAATGAAGGACTCTTGTGAAACATCTTATCTTACTTAGTCTGAAGACTAAACTGTTTTTGAATGTTGGGGAAAAAAAAGTTTTTGTCAGGTTAAAAACTAAAAGCAAGCCAAGCATGGTGGCTCATGCCTTTAATCCTAGCACTTTGGGAGGCCAAGGCTGGAGGATCACTTGAGCCCAGCAGTTCGAGACCAGCCTCACCAACATAACAAAACCTTGTCTCTACAAAAAATGGAAAAATTAGTTGGGCATGGTGTCGGGTACCTTAGTCCCAGCTACTTGGGAGGCTGAGGCAGGAGGATGGCTTGAGCTGAGTAGTTTGAGGCTGCAGTGAGCTGTGATGACACCACTGCAACAGAGCAAAGCTCTGTCTCAAAACAAAAAACAAACAACAGCAAAAATAACCGTAAACAAGCAGTTTTGCTATGATAAAATTTGTTCCCTATTCAGCCATTGTAGTAAAGTCTTCCAGTAGGCTAAAAGGAATTCGGGAGGTGGCTTTTTAGATTTTTTTTTTTATTCCATTATAGGAATAAAAAAAAAAAACCTTGAAACACAAAGAGTCCTGTGAAAGAAATTTTGTTTGGGAATATAAAATTTTTCAACATCAGGAAAAAAAATGAATTGGAAATGATTCATATTTATATATAATATAGATTGTGGATCCCAGTCAAATTCTGGAAGGGATCAACCTATCAAAAAGGAAAGAACTACAGTGGCCTGATGAGGGAATTCGGTTAAAAGCTGGGAGAAATAGCTGGAAAGACTGGAGTCCTCAGGAGGGCATGGAAGGCCATGTAAGTTCTTTTATGAAGCTAACTGTCTGGTGGTGTGACTTTTTATAGTCTCACTGACTTGCGTGCATGGTTTGAGCTGCTTTATATACTCACATTTAATTTTTAAAATTGCTCAGTGAGGGATAAAAGTTTGTGAGTATATTCAAGGTCTCTAGCACTAACTTCTTGTTTCATTCTAAATCATTAGGTGATTCACCGATGGGTGCCTTGCAGCAGAGATCCAGGTACTAGATCCCACATCGACAAGGCAGTGCTTCTGGTCCAGATTGATGATAAATATGTGACTGTAATTGAAACTGGGGTACTAGAACTTGGGGCTGAAGTGTGAGCCAGTGTTTTATAACTACATTTCTTTTTCCCTCTCAATTCCAAGACGTTGGAAAGAGAGGAGCAAGCAGAAGATGCCCGCAGGTATCACTTCGATCCTCTGTGGGAGAGGCTTGAAAACAGTGAGCTTGGTTCAGCACCTCTCCTTTGCCGTTCACCCTGGCGCCTGTCACTGTCTCCATCCCCAAATAAAGCTGAATATTTTTTTAAGTTAGCTGCCAAGAAAACACTTTGCATGAAGGATAAAGTTCAGTTAAAATACATCCTTAAAAAAAGTTTTTCCTATGCATTGCCTATGCTTTAAATCAACAAACTCTTCATTTCTAAACTACGAGCTCATATTTTTCTAATTTCTTTGCCAAAAATAATTGCCATGTTTTGTCATAGAACATGAAATCCATTTACCTTGATTTTTAAAATCAGACCAGTGTAGAAACACATTCAGTTTGACATATAGCGGTATAAAAGTTTAATGTACAGTGAAAGAGACTATGAACAGACATAGATTTATCTTATTCCTTGAGCGCTAAAAACTTTAATGAAAAATCTGCACTAATTTTTTACAACGATGCACTAAAGTCTGAGATTTCTCAGAACATTTATTTATATATAAAATAAAATGCCATTATTTAAATTGCCTTTGGAATTTACCCCTCCCCCTTCCTCATAAACATAGGTAGCAGAAACTGTGCTGCTCCCTTTTGTTAGTAATCTATACTTCATGCCAGTACATTGGATGTTTTCTTTAAAATGAATATGAAATCTCAAGATATAATAGCTTCGCCGTTGACATTTTCCGGAGCCACCAGTCAGTGATCGGTCACGTGAACACCACTGCCAGCTACTGTGTCCACATTTCGGATGAGCTCCACGTGTTCTGCTTCTGTCTACCTGGGGCAAGCTCTGCTGGGGTCACTTCTGGGAAGAAAATACTTTGGCTTTTCAAAGAAGAAGATGAACATCCAGGAATTTAAAGAAAGGATCAATGGCCTTTTATTTATTTTAAGAGTTCCTAGCTCTTGAAGTTATTTACATGCAATTCAGTTAATCAAGTAAAATTTTTTTCAAACAAAATGTTCCAAATGGTGCAGTTCTTACTGTTATATCCCTCTTTAATAACTTCGTTGTTTATTTTCCCCCCTCTTCTTTTTCTATTACTTGAATTTTTATTTTCTGTAATTTATAGTGTGTAGCTATAGTTTGAAATATTTATAACTGTGAAATTGACTTAATTCATGTTGCAGAACTTAAATTTTGTTGGTTTTTTAAAAAGCACGTATTCAGGGAAATATATTACTCAGATTTACAATTGGGCTACATGGGATCTGCAATTTAGATTTAATTTGCAACTTAGCATTTTTTAAATCCTTAAGAAAATTTTCCATTTTGGTGTGAAACTCCAAAGAACATTGTACATTTTCTCTGAGCATTTAGGAGCAGCCATCTTTCTCCCCCTGTGAAAAGAAAGTAAAAAGAGGCAGGTAAAATTAATTTTAATAATATATTCTATTTAATCCAGTGTATCCAAAGTATTACTATTTCAATATGTGACACTAGCCATATTTCAAGTACTCAATAGCTACATGTGCCTAGTGGGTACTGTATTGGACAGCACAGGTTTAAAGTATCTTTTGATGAGATGACAGAAGAGAGAAGCTGTTTTTCCTGTTCTGATATAGATCTCACAGTATAGCATGACATTACAGTAGAAGGAATGAAAACTGAGAAAGTAAATAGCTTACTGTACCAAATGCATTTCCACTTCAAAACCTATTTATTTTCTTTTTATTTCTAATTTTAAATTTTTGTGGTCATTCAGAACCTAATGTGCCTTGTGTTAACGTTTCTGTAGACTTCACACTTCGCAAAATTTACTGTTTAAAAATACTTGTCAAATGATTTACTGAACCTTTATACAAAGGTACCCTTTCTAAATTGACCATTTAAAAATGTACTTTCTGGTACTGTTATTATATTTTGTATTTGCCTCATTTTGGCAAATCTACAGTATGCCATTAAAGTTCAGTATTGGTTTTGGTTTTTGGGGTTTCTTTTCCTAAAACAGAATATATGATCTGTCTATCTACATAACATATATATTTAAAATCTTCTCAAAGTAACTATGCTCCCTGATGCTTGTTCCCTTTCTGAAGTGAATATTATCCCTTCATTGCCTAGATAAGAGATAAGTGCACCCTTTTCACTCTTAGATGGAAGATAATTCATTTTCTCACACAGAATTAAAAAAAAAAAATCTTCAGATGATTTAATCAGAAGAGGTGAAATTTTTGTTGTTCCTAGCCCCTCCTCCAAAAAATTGTTAAACACATCACATACTCTGAAAAAGTCATATTTCAAGTGTAAGATTAGATTTTATATGGAGCATATATATTGAGGTTTGATTTGGGGTAGCAATTGATAGACATTTTTCTCAAAACAAGTTAAATTTTATTATTATAGAACTCTTCAGTGAATTTATAAATTAGAAACTCTAAGAGAAGCCCTGTTATTTTTAAAGTCTAAAACTGATAGTCTTTTTAAAATTATAATACTTTTCTAATAATTGCATCCAGGGGAAATGGTGATAATTGAAGAAAGATTCATGTCTTAAGAATAATTTGATCTAAATTATTATATAAAAAGAAACACCTAAACAACTTAAGTGATGAAAATTAATTAAATTGATCATAAATGTCTTATTCCTCCCCACCCCCCAGAGAATAGTGAGCTACTTGTTTCGATTCTCTGCTTAGCCTTCTTCAGTAATGTACAAGACTCCAGTATACATTAATGTCTTCAGTTCATAAGTGCCAAAATTTTGGCTTCCATAATTGGAAAATAAAAAGATACAATTAAAACACTAGCTTTTTATTCATTTCCTTTAAATAGAGTTGCATGATTGAAATCTTTCTGCTTTTTTCTTGTTTGATTTATTTTTCCCCCATTTCACAAAAAAGGCAATCCTAGAATGAGTTGTTAATTGTTGCTTTTTTTCCTTTTATTCAGTGGCAGAAAACATTTTATAATTCCTAATTAAGGTTTTGGTTAATCTTCCAATGTACACCTTGGTGTGAACTCTCTTTTTATACCATTTTCAACACTGGATAAAACTTTAAATGTTGACTTTTTGCTAAAGAACTTTAATTTTTTCAAGAATCTAGGTTAATAGAAGATGTTGATATTTAAGGAACTTGGGAGAGTAGGTGGTGAGGCAGTATGTATATTTTTTGAGGTAAGCAGAGATTAATTACCTTTTAGGAAATTAGTGAACAAAATCAGCATTCTGCCTTCTTTGGGTTTCTACTACTGGAGGATTAAATTCCATTAGATTTGAAGTATTTTGAAAAATATTTCAAGTATATCTGAAATACTTCTAATTTTTGAAACAGAAGTAATCAGACAATATTCCTATCCTTAGTGAGACATGGAAATTTACTCTGTGTGCTAAATGTCAGGCAATGAAAACGTAAGTTTTATGTAGGAAGGTATAACTTAAGATGTATTTTTCTTTCTAGATTAGTTTATTTTTCTGTCTCATATGAAAGTATAAGAAACAGCCTCACATCTAAGCAAAGGTAACTTAGCCTTAATAAATCCCACTTTGCTTCTGAGCAGCACCCTCCTGCCTCTGCTTAGCAAGTGGTTGGTGGGTTGCTGTATTGAGTCATTAGTCCAGAACTGCGTCTTTTAAACTTAGGACTCACCCAGTGTCTAAATTTTTTTTTCCTCTTAGCTAACTTTTAAGTGTCCTTCCTCCTTAAGTAAATATATGACTTGATAAAAAGGTAATATTAATTTTGTGTGAGAATTCTTTGAACTTGTGTTTACTAGCTGCAAACTATAAACTACTATCCAGATTGTTAATTTTATATTTAATTTTTCACGAGTTTTCATGGACAAAGCCCTTTCTTGGGTTTTTTGTTGTTCTTTTTAAGTCCTCAGTATTCATCCTCATTCTTTTTTGTAGTGTAATGTAATTTTTATAAAGTTACTTTGTATGGACACCGACCCAGTTAATTTTTTCTTTTGATATGATACATTGTTCAGAGAAGATACAAAAATATCCCTTTTAATTCTAGAGGCGTTTCCTTTAATTCCAAGAGCAGCGGAGAGAATAATGTCAATCAAGGCTAAGATGGTACGTGGAAACTGTTAATGGACTTTGAACTTTCTGTTTCAGTCTTATGTGTGGTATATTGAGTGTTATTGGTCTGGAGGAAGAGGAAAATTAGATACTAGGCAGCATAAATTTTAATATTATATTGAACGTGTATAGCTTTTTAAAACTAAGTATTAAAAAACTAACCCTTCTTTTTCTTCATTTCTCTTTTGTTATAAAAAATCTGGTTGATATAAATCTAGGCCTTCTCATTTTTGACTTGTTAAATGTTTAGGTTAAGAATTGTGATTGAAAAGGATTTTATTATTATACAAATAGATCTGGTAGGATTTGAGTGGAGCATTAATTTTGCTTGAAACAGAAGTATATTTTCTGCTTTGAATCACCTCACCAGAGTCATCTGTCAAGAATCATGTGATAAGAATTTCTCTTTATTGCCTATAAGCTACGTATTCTTTCTGAATTAGGGTAAATGATGTCTGTTTGTAAGCTGAACTTTATCATCTGCCATTTTGTGGAATCAATGTAACATTCTTTGGGGGAACTAGAGCTGATTGTCACTTCAAGGTTATATGACAACTTTGTTCTAAGACTTATACCTATTATATAGGGTTATACCTTTTTTCTTATGCCTCAGCTGTGTACCTGACAATTTATGATTCAGTGGAGCCAAGCTGGAAGGAACAAAGGTCATCTAACACTGTGATGGGGATGAATTCCTGGGTGTTACCTGCACAGGTGAGGTGACACCTTGGGATTCAAAACAGAGTAGTAGTAGAGAATGAGATGGCTGCTCCAGATGACTCTTGGGTTTAGTGTACTTGTGGTTGAACAAGATTTTTTATATGTGAAGCTTGATTCTACAACCAAAATACTAGAAGTGGGGGGCAGGGAGAATCATGTCTGCTTATGCTTTTTAAAAGCTTATAGTTTAAATAAAAGTAGATTGTAAAAACTGATTAACCCTATACAAGTCTGGCAATGAGCTCTGCATGAGGAAATGGAAGGATGAATACTAAAAATGATTCTAGGAAGTTACGTGTGAAAAAGGAAAATGGATTTTCCTTTTCTGATCATGGGCTCTGGAAAGTATTCATTGCCTTTACC